CGCCTCTTCCTCCTCTTCCTCCTCTTCTTTCGCCTCCTCCTCCTCCCTCTCATCCTCTTCCTCCTCCTCCTCCTCCTCCTCCTCCTCCTCCGCCTCGCTTCCTCTTCCTCATCCTCATCCTCCTCCTCCTCCTCCTCCTCCTCCTCCTCCTCCTGGGTGGCGCTGCTGCGGCTGCTCGTTCCGCTTGGGGTGGCGCGCTTCGGGGGTCGCTTCCGCTCGGGCCCGGGTGGGAGGGGGGACCTCGCAGGCTCCGCGCCCGCGCCAATTGAGCCCCCCCAGAGGCGCCAAGACTCGCCGGCGTCGTCGTCGTCGTCGTCGTCGCCGTCGTCGTCGTCGTCGTCGTCGTCGCCGTCGTCGTTAAGCCCTCTCAGACCAGCCCGAAGACACGTTCGGTGAGGCTGTAGATCCTCCAAGTCCTCCAAACTCATTGGGTTGTCTTTTCGACGTGCCTCGCTTCCCCCGCACGGCCCGCAGATCCAGCAGCAGCCAAGCAAAGCCAGCAGCGGCAGAGCAGCTAGCAGCAGAAGTCGGCAGGAGGCGGCAGCGATAACCAAAAGCAGCTGGCAACATCAGCGAACACCAGTTGGCAGGCACGGACAGGCAGGCGACATCAACGGGCAGCAGGGGCACAGCAAGGCAGGCATCGACAACCAGCACAAAGCAACGGCAAGTAGCAGCACTGCCCCCGAAGTAAGCAGCAGCCCACAACAGGTCAGCAGCAGGCGGCAGCAGAAGCAGGATACGGCAAGCATCAGCAAGCTGCAGCACGCGGCATCACGCAACAGCGAATGGCAGCAGGCGGCAGCGAGCGGACGAGGAGGAGGAGGAGGAGGAGGAGGAGGAGGAGGAGGAGGAGGAGGAGGGGGAGGGGGAGGAGGAGGGGGGAGGGGGGGGAGGAGGAGGAGAGGAGGAGGAGGAGGAGGAGGAGGAGGAGGAGGAGGAGGAGGAGCAGAAGGCCAGCAGCAACGCAAGCAGCCCAGCACTCCAGCGGGTCAGCAGGCAAGCAAAGCTGGCAGCGAGCAGCATCGGCCCCCAGAAGAGGCAGCAGTCGCAAGCGTCAGCGAGCAGGAGCCGCACAGTACCAGCACCAACACTGAGCAGCAAGCAGCAGCGACGGGCTGCAGCAAACACCAGCCCGCACCAACACTAGCCCGCGGCTCGAGCCGGGCTACGGAAGCAGGCAGTAGCAACAGGCACTCCGACCATCAGCAGCTGACACCAAGCAGCATCAGACAGCAGCACGCGGCAGTGAATGGCAGCGAGCGGACAGGCAAGCGACGGAGCAAGCAGGCAATCATGATACCAAGAACGCCGACCAGCATGCAAGCGGGGAGGTCGGGGAGAACGCTGTCAGAAAAGCAGAATTAATGGTAGCCGCTCGCGCATGACGGCGCGCAAAAAGGCAAGCGATCGCCTCCCTTGCATGCAAGCAAGCTGTCATGGGCCTCAGTCGACGGGCCAGCCATACTGTAATCAGCTACAGCGCTGCGATCAGCGCGTGCGAGAGGGGTGGGCAGTGGCAGCAGGCTCTATCGTTGCTCAGCGAGATGCGGGAGGCCATGGTGGAGCTTGACGTCATTATCTGCAGCGCTGGGATCAGCGCGTGCGAGAAGGGCGAGCAGTGGCAGCGGGCTCTATCGTTGCTCAGCGAGACGCGGGAGGCGAAGGTGGAACCCGATGTCATCATCTGCAGCGCTGGGATCAGTGCGTGCGCGAAAGGCGAGCGGTGGCAGCAGGCCCTATCGCTGCTCAGCGGGATGTCAAAAGTGAGCTTGGAGTCAAACGTTATGAGCTACAGCGCTGCGCTCAGCGCGTGCGCGAAAGGTGAGCAGTGGCAGCGGGCTCTATCGCTCCTCAGCGAGATGCGGCGAGTGAAGTTGGAGCCAACTGTCATCAGCTACGGCGCTGGGATCAGCGCGTGTGCGAAAGGCGAGCAGTGGCAGCGGGCGCTATCACTCCTCAGCGAAATGCGGAGAGCGAGGTTGGAATCAGATGTCGTCAGCTACAGCGATGCCATCAGCGCGTGCGCGAAAGGCGAGCAGTGGCAGCGGGCGCTATCGCTGGTCAGTGAGATGTGGAAATTGAGGTTGAAGCCAAATGTAATCAGCTACAGTGCTGGGATCAGCGCGTGCGAGAAGGGCGAGCAGTGGCAGCGGGCTCTATCGTTGCTCGGCGAGATCTGGGAGGCGAAGGTGGAGCCCGACGTCATCATCTGCAGTGCTGGGATCAGCGCGTGCGCGAAAGGCGAGCAGTGGCAGCGGGCTCTATCGCTGCTCAGCGGGATGTGGGAGGCGAGGATGAAACCTGATGCCATCAGCTATGTCGCTGGGATCACGGCGTGTCACAAGCCTGGGCAGTGGCAGCAAGCTCTGTCGCTGCTCGGTGGGATGTGGGAAGGGAGGCTGGAACCAACTGTCACCGTATCGTCTACCTTGCTGGTCCCCGCGCGTACAGGAAGGGTCTTGCATCACAGAAGCGTCGGAGCCTCTGGAGAGCCGAGGGAGCTGAGGAAACAGCCCCCGCGCGTCCCGGAGCAGCCTGGAGGGCACCTCCACGCGGGCCCCTGGGCCCACAAGGGCACCCAGAGGGCCCCTGGATGCCCCCGCAACGTCGCCTCCAGGTGGGCCCGCCCGACCCCGAGGCGGCCCCGAGACGGCCCAGGACCGCTCGAAGGCGGCCCCAAGGCGCCCCCCCAGTCGCTCCCAGACCCCCCCCCACGGCACCCGGAGCCCTCAAGGGATTCCCGTGTGGCCCCCGGAGGCGCGGGAGAGCCCTCCGAGAGACCCCAGGACGCCCCCATGGAAGGCACCAGGCTGGCCAGCCTGGGGGGCGAGCGACCCGAGGATGAGAAGCCGGGCGCTGGGCCCACGCGCGTGCCGAGGCCGTTGGGAGGGCCGTCCGCGCGTGCGGGCCGCGTCTCTCAGGCCTCCCGGCTCGCTCTTCGCGCTCCTCGCGCTCCTCGCGCTCCTCGCTCCTCCTCCTCCTCCTCCTCCTCCTCCCTCCTCCTCCTCCTCCTCCTCCTCCTCCTCCTCCCTCCTCCTCGTCCTCCTCCTCCTCCTCCTCCCCTCCTCCTCCTCCTCCTCCTTCCTCCTCCCTCCTCCCCCTCCTTTCCCGCCCTCCTCCTCCACCTCTCCTCCTCCTCCTCCTCCTCCTCCTCCTCCTCCCTCCCCCTCCTCCTCCTCCCTCCTCCTCCTCCTCCTCCTCCTCCTCCTCCTCCCTCCTCCCTGCCTCCTTCTCCTGCTCATGGTATCTCCCCCTCCTGCTGCTCATCTCCTCCATCCCTCCTCCTTTTCATATCCCCCTCCTCCGTCCTCCAAATCCTCCATCCTCGCCTTTTCCATCCTCCTCCTCCCCTCCTCCTCCCTCCTCCTCCTCCTTCTTCCTGCCTCCTCCTCCCCTTCATCCATATCCTCCTTCCTCCTCCTCCTCCTGCTTCTCCTCCTCCTCTACTCCTCCTCCTCCTCCCCCTCCTCCTCCCTGTCCTCCTCCTCCTCCTCCTGACCTTCCTCTCCTCCTCCTCTCCTCCCCCTCCTCCTCCTTCCTCCTCCTCCTCCTCCTCCTCTCCTCCCCCTCCTCCTCCTCCTCCTCCTCCTCACTCCTCCTCCTTCCCCCCCCCCCCCCCTCCTCCTCCTCCTCCTCCTCTCCTCACTCGCTTCCTCCTCCTCTCCCCCTCCTGCTCGCCCTCCTCCTCCTACTCCTCCTCTCCTCCTCACTCCTGCCATTCCTCCTCCTCCCCCACCGTCCTCCGTCCAGGAGGAGGAGGTGTGTGCAGGAGGGGAGGACGGAGAAGGAGAGGAGAGGAGAAGGAGGAGGAGGGAGGAGGGGGAGGAGGGAGGAGGAGGAGAGGAAGGAGTAAGGAGGAGGAGGAGGAGGATGAGGAGGAGGAGGAGGAGGAGAAGGAGCAGGAGGAGGGAGAAGGAGGAGGAGGAGGAGGAGGAGGAGGAGGCGGAGGAGAAGGAGGAGGAGGAGGAGGACCAGTGTAAATCCAAGCGCCATCAACGATGTTGGCATACACCCTCCGTCCAAGCTCCCTCTTCATGGGCCCCTACAACGCTTCATTTCCATTGAGGGATCTGCCTCGTTGGAAGACAACCGTTTGAAGACCCGGAAGCATGCCAAAACATTGTTCTCGGGATTCCAACGCCACGGATAAACCTGCATGTTGCGTCTTGACGATCTTGGATCGTGCCAGAACGCCAATCTTGGGATTTTTACACCGCGAATCAACGTAACTGTTGCACCCGCAAGATCTTGGGTCCTTCCAAAGCATAATTTCTGGTACGTTGATCTTGGAAATTGTTTGAACGAATGTGCGCCGCGCTAAGGCGATATCCACATTTTGAAAAGAAACCGCCCTGAATCCGTGAAACTCTTGCAATGCTTTAGAACGAGCGCGCGCGGCGCTAAGGCGAAAGCCAGGTTTTGAAAACGGGTCATCCTCAATCCGTGAAGCTCTTGCAATGTTTTAAAAGGAGTATGCGCGGCGCTGAGGCGAGAGCCACATATTGAAAACGGGTTATCCTTTATCCTTGCAAGTTTTTAGAACGAATGTGCGCGGGGCTAGGCGAGAGCCACATGTTGAAAACCACCCGCCCTCCATCTGTGAAACGGATGCCATATTTTTTAATCTCAGAGTCATAAGTGGTGAGGGAGTCTCTGGCGAAACGCCCGGTCCGCCCTAAACACTGGCTTCGGGGTGCGACACGGAGAAGTTAATGATAAAGAAAAGGAATGGACGAGGAGGAGGAGGAGGAGGAGGAGGAGGAGGAGGAGGAGGAGGAGGGGGAGGAGGAGGAGGAGGAGGAGGAGGAGGAGAGGAGGAGGCGAGGCGGTGGGAGGAGGAGGAGGAGGGAGGAGGAGGAGGAGAGGTAGGAGGACAGGGAGGAGGGGGGAGGAGGAGGAGAAGGGGAGGAGGAGGAAGGAGGAGGGAGGAGGAGGAGGGGGAGGAGGAGGAGGAGGAGGAGGAGGAGGAGGGGGCGGCGGAGGAGGATCGACGGTCAAAGGCCTGGGAGGAGCACAGAGGACCGAGGATCGAGGAGGAGCAGCAGAGAACACCCGAGGCGAGCCTCCGCGCGCGTCCAGGACGGCCCCAAGACGCTCCGGGGGCTCAGTTGCCTCGATACGCGCGTTTTGAAACGCAATCTGTCCCGTGTTCAAGACGCCCGTGTCAGTACGTTGCGTGCTGGCTCTACGTATTGGACCACGTTTTGGCGAATGTATCGCGTCGGTCCTACGTCTTCGGCCTACCTCTTGAGCCCCGCATCCATACGAGACGTGCTGCGTGTTGCGTGTCGGGGCAGCGTGGGCTGGGAGGCCTCCCACGACGGCCCAGGCGGACCCCGAGGCCGACCCCACGAGGCCCAAGCCGCATGTCCCCCCCCCAGGGTCTGGCCATCGCTCGGACGTCCATTCCCTGTGCTTGTTTCGGCTCCGTGCGCGTTTTTTTTGCACCAGATGGGTCGAGGATGCTCCTCGAAGGTCCTCGCCGAAGGCCATCGCTCGGACGTCCATTCCCTTTGCTTGTTTCGGTTCCGTGCGCGTTTTTTTGCGCCAGATGGTCGAGGATGCTCCTCGAAGGTCCTCGCCGAAGGCCATCGCTCGGACGTCCGTTCCCTGTGCTTTTTTCGGCTCCGTGCGCGTTTTTTTTTGCGCCAGATGGGTCGAGGATGCTCCTCGAAGGTCCTCGCCGAAGGCCATCGCTCGGACGTCCGTTCCCTGTGCTTGTTTCGGTTCCGTGCGCGTTTTTTTTTGCGCCAGATGGGTCGAGGATGCTCCTCGAAGGTCCTCGCCGAAGGCCATCGCTCGGACGTCCGTTCCCTGATCGCTCGGACGTCCGTTCCCTGTTTCTTTGTTCGGCTCGTGTGCGCGCTTTTTTTTTTTGCGCCAGATGGTTCGTTCGAGATGATCCTCGAGGTCCTCGCCCCGATAGGCCATCGCTGGAATACGCTCGTCCGTTCCCTGTGCTTTTTTCGGTTCCCGTGCGCCGCTTTTATTTGCGCCAGATGGGTTCGAGGATGAGCTCGAGGTCCTCGCCCGAAGAAAATTCAAGATGCACACCGTCGAGCGATGCCAGGACGAGGAGGGAGCAGGAGGAGGAGGAGGAGGAGGAGGTAGGAGGAAGGAGGAGGGAGGAGGAGGTAGGGGAGGAGCGGAGGCGGTTGGAGGAGGAGGCAGGAGGAGGAGGAGGAGGAGGAGGAGGAGGGTTCTCTCGAAGGTCCTCGCCGAGAAAATTACAAATGCACACGTCCGAGCGATGCCAGGGGGTGCCGCCCCCGCTCCCCTCACCCCTCCCTCGGCCGCCCCCCTTCTCCTGCACGGCGGCACGGGTCGCTCCCGCGGCGTCCCCGCGGTGATCGCTCGTCCGCCAGCGCAGTTCGCTCTGCCCGGCCGCCGACGCAAAAAAAAAACGTTTCCAGGATTCTCTCGCCTCTTCCCCTTCTCGCTCCTCGGCTCCTCGCTTTCCGGCCCGTCCCCGTTTCGTCCCTGGCCCGCGTTTCTTTGTCGGCCCGCCCTTCGGTCGGAATAAGAGCGCCGCCAGCTGGATTGGCGTTCTGCTCAGATATCCCCCCTGGGAGCCCCAAGAATTCTCTCGAGTGCTCCCCATCTCGCCTGCCGACGCAAAAAAAAAAAAAGTTTCCAGGAGTTTCTCGAGTGCTCCCCATCTCGCCTCCGGGGCGGCTCCCGACGGCCCCGAGCGCCTCCCGCATCGCGCCCGCGCCGCCCGGGAGACTCCCGGGGCCCTCGGCGGCCGAAGGGGCCCCCCAGATGAGTCCAGAGAGGACGAGGAGGAGGAGGGGGAGGGGGAGGAGGAGGAGAGAGGAGGTAGGAGAGGAAGGAGGAGGAGGAGGAGGGAGGAGGAGGAGGAGGTGGAGGAGGAGGAGGAGGAGGAGGAGGAGGGGGAGGAGGGGAGGAGGAGGAGGAGGGAGGAGGAGGAGGAGGAGGAGGAGGAGGGTTCTCTCCAAGAAGGCCCCAAGAGAGTCCCCAGAGAGCCCTTTCGAGCCCCAGGGACGCCCTGGGACGACCCCAAGGAACTTCTGCACGAAACTTCCCGGGCTGCCCACCAGAAGAGGCTTTTGGGGACAACCCGGGCACGGCTCCAGAGGCGCCCAAAATTTCCGCAAGAGGCTTTCGAGACGCCCCAGACAGGCTCGCGGGAGGACCCAACATGCCCCCTGCCCGGCCCCAGATACACCCGAGCTGTTCAATTTCCACGAGTTGTTGACCCACTGTGTGCGAGTTCCACGTTTAGCACACCGTGGATGTAATCCCCCGGTTCACGCTAGTCAGCTACAACGCCGGAATCACTGCGTGCGAGAATGGAGAGCAGTGGCAGCATGCATTGGCGTTGTTGAGAGAGATGAGGGAAGTAAAGCTGGAGCCCAACGTCATCAGCTGCAGCGCTGGGATCAGCGCGTGCGAGAAGGGCGAGCAGTGGCAGCGGGCACTGGCGCTGCTGAGCGAGATGCGGGAGGCGAAGCTGGAGCCCAACGTCATCAGCTTCAGCGCTGGGATTAGCGCGTGCGAGAAGGGCGAGCAGTGGCAGCGGGCACTGGCCCTGCTGAGCGAGATGCGGGAGGCGAAGCTGGAACCAGACGTCATCAGCTTCAGCGCTGGGATTAGCGCGTGCGAGAAGGGCGAGCAGTGGCAGCGGGCACTGGCGCTTCTGAGCGAGATGCGGGAGGCGAAGCTCGAGCCCAGCGTCATCTCTACTACATTGCAGGGCCCAGTGCATACCAGAAGGGCGCAGGCTCCATTAACCAATAATCGCCCCGGGCTGGCCCCGGGCCGCCTGGGGCCGCCCCGGGAGGCCCCAAGACGCGCCAAGGAAGCCCCAAGAGGCCCCCAAGACGGCTCTGGAGGGCCCCGGCACGCCCCAAGATGGGCCCAAAACGCTCAAGATTGGCCCAAGACGGCCCAAGAAGCCTCCAAGACGCCCCAAGAGGCTTCCCAAGAGGCCTCCCAAGAGGGCCCCGAGCGGCAGAAACCGTCGATTTCCATTGTGTTTTTCGATGGTTTCGGCCTCCTCGCCTTTTCGGCTTCCCGACGCTCCAAGACGGGCCAAGAGGTCCCCCAGACCGCTCCAAGACGGCCGAAGGACCCCAAGAGAGCCCCAAGACGGGCCAAGAGGGCCCCAAGACGGCCCCAAGGCGGCCCAGGACGGCCCCAGGACGGTCCAGGAGGCGCCCAAGACGGCCCAAGAGGCACCCAAGATGGCCCCAGGAGCGGCCCAAGACGGCCCAAGACAGCCCAAGAGGCGCCGAAGCCGGCTTCAGACGGCCCCAAGACGGCCCAAGAGGCACCCAAGACGGCCCAAGAGGGCCCTGAGAGCCCCCCAGGAGACCCAAAAGAAGCCCCCCGAAAGGACCCCCACGAGGCCCTAAGTGGCTTCAGAAGTGCCTTCACGAGGGGGTGAGCGGACAAGAGGCGACAGGCATATCGCGGGCACAAAAGAGCCGTTTTCGACGCTCCCAGGGATTCAGATGTTTGTCTGATGGGGAGCGCCGTCGGACCTCCGAACTTGGATCCTCCAGGCTCCACGCTCGAGGTCCTCCGCGACGCGCTCTTCAAACGGAGGCTCCCAAGAGCGAGCCGAAACGTCAAGATCTCTGAAATCCACAGCTCCCCAGAGCGAGCGGTGACGCAACCAGCTACATGATGATCGGCTAGGTGGACCACTAGCGCAGGCGCGCCTCGCGCCTCTGCTGCTCCGGCCGCTGTTGTTTTTACCCGTGCTTGCCATCGTCGCCGTGGCTGCTCCCGCTGCTCCCGCTCTCCCCGCCGAGAGCCGCCGCGCGAGCCTCCCCCCCCCGGGACCGTCAAACATGACAGATGTTCTTCTGGCTTTCGCCCTCCCGAGGTCGCTCTTGGGCCCCGGGGCCGTCAACACACGACTCAGGACGAGAAGCCAGTCCTTCGGACGTGGTCCAAGCTCACTGCGCATGTGGCCACTCCGAGGCGGAAGTGGTCCGCACGAGGTCGTCGTCGACATCCCCATCGTCGTCGTTCACCTCCTCGTCTTCGTCGTCGTCGTCGTGTTCGGCGTCGCCGTCGTCGTCGATGTCGTCGCCGTCGTTCTCCTTGTCGTTCTCGCCGCCGCCGTCGTCGTCGTCGTCGTCGTCGCTGCCGCCGCCGCCAACGTTGTCGTCGGCGTCGTCGCCGTCGTCGTCGGCGTCGTCGTCGTCTGCGTCGTCGTCGTCGTCCCCGCAGTTGGGGCCGCCAAGACGGCAGAAACCAGGAATCCGCGGGGCCGGACTGGGCCAGAATCCAAACCGAAAAAACAAGTATCCCGCAACATTTTCCTTTGAAAAATGTGGCGGGATACCTGTTCCATGGGCGCTCCCCCGGTGCAGCCAAACAGTGCCCCCGAGGGGCCCTCAAGACCGCTCGTCGTCGTCGTCGTCGTCGTCGTCGTCGTCGTCGTCGTCGTCGTCGTCGTCGTCGTCGTCGTCGTCGTCGTCGTCGTGTTCGGCGTCGCCGTCGTGGTCGATGTCGTCGCCGTCGTTCTCCTTGTCGTTCTCGCCGCCGCCGTCGTCGTCGTCGTCGCCGCCGTCGTCGTCATTGTCCCTTACCTTTTCAACAGGGCTCCGATTGCATTCCCTTAGTGCCCTCCCCTTTCAGAGGCCCGAGCGCTCAGCCCTGGTCTCCGCCCATCACAGCGCCCCTGTCGGAACCTCACCTTGCTTGGGATCTCACCTTCGGCCCCCTGTTGCGAAGCTACACGCTATGCCACGCTATGTCATGCAACGATATGTTACGCTATGCGAAGCCGGTCTCGCTGCCGCCGCCCGAGCCGCCGCCGTGTTTGTAGATTTTCGGTGCAATCTGCCGTTCCTCCGAGAACCATTCCAGAAAGATGTCGTGGACGGAGTCCACGGGTCAGCCCTAGTGAGCTACAGCGCTGGGATCAGCGCGTGCGAGAAGGGCGTGCAGTGGCAGCGGGCGCTGTCGCTGCTCCGGGAGATTGGGGGGGCGAAGCTGGAGCCCGACGTCATCACTTACAGCGCTGGGATTAGCGCGTGCGAGAAGGGCGAGCAGTGGCAGCGGGCACTGGCGCTGCTGAGCGAGATGCGGGAGGCGAAGCTCGAGCCCGGCGTCATGAGCTACAGCGCCGGGATCAGCGCGTGCGAGAAGGGCGAGCAGTGGCAGCAGGCGTTGGCGCTGCTCCGCGAGATGCAGGAGGCGCTGGAGCCTGACGTCGTCAGCTACAGCGCGGGGATCAGCGCGTGCGGGAAGAGCGGGCAGTGGCAGCGGGCACTTGCGCTGCTCAGCGGGATGTGCGAGGCGAAGCTCGAGCCCAACGACATCAGCTGCTGCGCTGGGATCCTCGCGTGCGAGAGAGGCGGGGAGTGGCAGCGGGCTCTGGCATTACTGGCTGAGGCGCGGGAGGCGAAGCTCGAGCCCTCTGCCATGCATCCCACAACGCCAGCGTTAAGTCGGGCATGTCCCTCGACGGGAGGAATATTCAAAAACATTGTATGAGGACGATGTTATATGTTTTTTTTTTTTGTTTTTCCATTTTTGCATTTCCGTTTTGAGGATGTTTTATTTTTCCTCCAGAGTCTGCCTGGGGGGGGGCGGACATGCTCGACCTCACGCCAGTGCCACCACGTGCACGACCTGCCCTCGCCAAAGGTCGCCAGAATCGGCCCGGCCAGCCCAGACGCACCCCCGAGCGCTCGGGGGCGGCAAAGAGGGGGGTGATGACTAGGGGGGGGCGGATATCATGGCGGGGCCATGCTATTTCCCCAGATTGCATGGCGCCCCTTCTTATCTTATTACGTCCCTTGCCCCCCCCCCCATGGGCCGCGCACGTGCCGCCGGCCATGATTTGCACCCCCCCCTCTTGGACGCCCCCCTCTTGGCCGCTCCGGGAGCGCAGCACAAGGGCGCCGCCGAAACCGCTCCGCGGAGCGCCCTGGCCGGGCCGCGCGCGGCCGAGCAGGGTCCCCAGGAAGCGCCATGGGCCGGCCGAGGCAGCTCCAAGGCGCCTCGAGACGCCCCCCAAGGTGGTCCCCATCGGCTCCAAGAGGGCTCCTCCTCCTCCTCCTCCTCCTCCTCCTCCTCCTCCTCCTCCTCTTCCTCCTCCTCCTCCTCCTCCTCCTCCTCCTCCTCCTCCCTGCCCGCGGGAGCTCATTGAACTCGGACCTCCCAGTCGAGCTTCTGCTCTTCTGGGAGGCGCAACGGTTGCACCCCTCCAAAAGGGCTCTTCAGAGCCCCGAATCATCAGGGGTAACTCGGGTCAGGGTTAACTCGGGTTCGCTTTTCGGGAATCCAAACCCGAGTTACCCCGGACCCGAGTTACCCCGGATGAATCGGGCGTCCAAGAGCCCCGAATCATCAGGGGTAACTCGGGTCAGGGATAACTCGGGTTCCTTTTTCGGGAATCCAAACCCGAGTTACCCCGGACCCGAGTTATCCCGGATAACTCGGGCGCCCAAGCTCTGCGCAGGGGGCCGGGAAGGAGTGCCTCGAGTAGGGGCACGGCCGCCTCCTTCCATGACCGCCGTCGGGTTTCCCATCTCCGGCCCTGCGCCCTGAGCCTGGACGCATACGCACATGGTTTCTTGTCTTGGCATCGCTCGGACGTGTGCATTTTTCTTTCGGCGAGGGCCATCGAGGAGCATCCTTGATCGCTTGGCAAGAAAACCACGCACGAAACCGAAAAAAACACAGGGAATAGACGTCCGAGCGATGGCCAGCTGCAGGCACGAACCACGCTGGGCCAGCGTAGGCCTGCGCGCATCAGTTCACTCCGTGCGCGTTGGGCGTCGACGACAGTGCCAACCAGAGCACTCCTTGGCATGCCTTCGTGTTCTTTGTGTTCTGGGAGGGGCGTCGGAACTCATGCGCCCCGCCGCGCTGGGAGCAGTTGGGGGGTTTGCGTGCGCGCGAGGCCGACTCGGCTGCTCAGGGGTTGTGCGCGTGCGTGCAGTTCTGGGCGCTCAGCATTGCCATCGAACGTCCGCGCGTCTCCTGTCGATGCGGTGGGAAACGCACGGTTGGGATCATCAACCCTTGACGCCACGATCACCCCCATCAGCCCATCCAGACAAGATTCCCCGTGACTCGTCGCGATAGTGGCACCTGGGAGCACAACTTAACCAGCCTCGAGCCTCCCGTTTGCCCTCTCTGCGCGAGCTGTTTGTTGCTGGTCTCAGCTTCTCCACTCTCCTGAGTCCAGGCCAGTGTGGGGGTTTTTGACCCTCGGGCCCCGAGAGGTGAAAATCGCCCAAGACCCTCAGGGACTAATCTTATGTCGGGCGTGTCCCCCTACAGTGGGATTTCCGACGAACAAAATACCCCCAAAAGGTCAAAAAAATGCTCGAGACATAGTCCCCTGACGATTTTCGGGCTATGCTTCGAGCATTTTAATTTATAATATATATATATATAGATATATATATATATATATACTATATTAATATATATATATATATATATATATATATATTTAAAAAAAATCGTCGACAATCCCACTGTAGGGGGGACAGGCCCGACTTGAGACTAATCCGCGCGGTTTGGACATTCTCCACTTGTCATGCCAAGGTGGCTCCAGCACGGGCCCCAGAGCCTTCCGAGAGGGGCACAAAGGTCTACAGGAGCCCTCCAGAGGGCCCAGGAGGCCCCCAAGATAGCCCCAAAATGGACCTGGTCGGCCTCCAAGATGGCTCCGTGACGGCCCCTAGACGCCTCAAGACATCCCCAAGATGAACCCATGGCCCCCCCTCGACAGCCCGCGGAGCCTCCCGAAGCAGCACGCAGGAGCCAAGCGACGCCCGGATGCCCCGTGAGGCCTTGAACGGGGGCCCCAGAAGCCCCGAGGAAGGCCCCAAGAAGACCCCAAGAGGGCCCCACGAGCGACCCGAGAAGGCTCCAGAAGCCCCAAGGAAGACTCCAAGAAGTTGGCCCCAAGAGGGCCCCCCCGAGCCCCAGACATCCGACGTCTCGATTTTTTCGAGACGCGGGCCCCCGACCTCCCGACCACTTCCCTGGGGCCGGTTTTTCCTCCCGAGTCGTTTTTTGACGGTTCCGAGGCCCGGCGAGGGCCGCCGGAGGCCGAAAATTAGGAAAAACCTCCCGTCATGATTTTTTCATTATTCGAGGGGGTCTGGGTTTGGGCTACCCCGAGAATCTTGGGGGCGAGAGGCCAAAAACTATGAAGAACCTCTGTCTCGATTTTTTCGAGACGCCCGACGCCTGGGGCGACCCGAGAAGACCCGCGTGTCTGGCCATGCGCGCGCCGAGGCCCCTGGGAGGTTCGCCGTGCTCGCCGCTCCTCGTCGCGCCTCCCTCGCTCCTTCCTCCACGCTCTTCGCTCCGTGCCCATCGCTCCCCCTTGCCTTTGTGCGTCCCTCTCGTGCCGCTGCTCTACTTCGTCTGGGTGCTCGTGCTGGTCGTCCTCGGCTCGTTCGACCTCCCATGTCGAGATACAGAGGTGGAGCGACCCGAGAAGACCCGCGCCGAGGCCCCTGGGAGCTTCGCCGTGCTCGCCGCTCCTCGTCGCGCCTCCCTCGCTCCTTCCTCCGCGCTCTTCGCTCCGTGCCCCTCGCTCCTCCTCGCTCCCCCTCGAGGAGGAGGAGGAGGAGGAGGAGGAGGAGGAGGAGGAGGAGGAGGAGGAGGAGGAGGAGGAGGAGGGGGAGGAGGAGGGGAGGTGGGAGGGAGGAGGAGGAGGTGGAGGAGGAGGAGGAGGATGGGTTGAGAGTCGGCGCAGGCGAGTGGCGTACCCGGGCACGAGGAGGAGGAGGAGGAGGAGGAAGGAGGAGGAGGAGGTCTTAGAGGAGAAGGAGAGAGGTCGAGGAGAAGGAGGAAGGAGGAGACAGAAAGCAGGAGGCGGATCGTTCACCTCCAGGCCCCGGCACCTCCCTCGGTCGGCCCCCCCCCCCCCCCCCCCCCCCCCCCCCCCCCCCCCCCCACCACCCCCCTCTCCCGCGCCGCTCTCGCCTCGGGCGGCCTGCACCCCCTTTCTCGCTCCTCGCCGATCCGTCCCCGCCTCTCCCCCCGCCCTCCTCGAGCCAGACGTGCGTCGGGCCTGTCCCTCTACAGGGGGGATATTCGAAAACAGTTAAAATAGTCAGGGGACGATTTTGTGTTTTTACCATGTTTGAGGATTTGTGGCGTATGTGTTGGGCATGTTCGATGTTTCGCCCAAGATCCCCCTGCAGGGGGACAGGCCCGACCTGAAGCCAGACCCCTCGCTCCCAGATCCTCTCACGAGCAGCAGGTTTCGTCTGCTAGCGGAAGTAGCCAGCTGCCACATTTTGCAGTACCAACCAGCAGCAGACAGAAGCAGCACGAAACAGACAGCAGCAGCGCAGCACACATAAACAGCAGGTCGCAGCATGCAGCAGGCGACAGCGCATTGCATCAGCACGCAGCAAGGATAATTGGCAACCAGCAGCACCCTACAGCCACAAGCAGCAACAGCAGCGGCAAGGATTATTGACGGCACGCAGCAGCGACAGCAGACAGCAGCGTGCAGTAGCAGGCACGCAGCATCAGCCAGCACCAAAGAGCACCGGGCAATTGGGAGCAGCACGCAGCAGCGCCAATCCGCATCGGACAGCAGCACGCAAAGCCAGCACCAGCCCGCAAGATGGCTTCAACACGACCCAAGACGGCCTTGAGAAGTAGTTCCGAAGCCATTCCAGATGGCACCCACGCCTCCTGAGGAACCCCGCGAGGCACCCGAGGATGGACGATTGAGGACGGACGAGGGGGATGAAAAGGAGGAGGATGGAGGAGGACTGAACAGGAGGAGGGGGAGGACTGAGCAGGAGGAAGGGGATGAGGAGGAGGAGGAGGAAAAGGAGGAGGAAGAGGAGGAGGAGGAGGAGGAGGAGGAGGAGGAGGAGGAGGGTCCGTAGCCATTCTGGCTTAAGCCCGCTGCCGCAGCACCGCCGTTGGGCGGCTCGCCGCGGGCCTCCGCTGTCGGGCGGCGCTCGCTGCTCGTGCCGCAACCCGCCGCGGCCCGCGGGGCCCCCCGCGGGCGGTGCACGCTGCGGCGGGCCTCGCGAGCGGCTCGGCGGCCGCTCGGCTGCCTCGAGCTGCAGCGGGGCTCTCTGCCGCAGCGCGGCGTCGGCGCCCTCGAGGCCGAGCCGAGGCCTCGGCCTCTGCCTGCGCCGACGGGCGGAGCGGGCGGGCCACCTGCGCCGCCTGAGGGCCCTCGGCCTCGGCGGCGTCGGCGGCACGCAGGTGGAGCCCGCCGCGCCCGACCTCGGTCGCGGCGGCGGCGGGCCGCCGCGGGCCGCGGCGGGCCGCGGCGGGCCGCGGCGGCCTCGAGGGCGACAGCCGGGCGCACGCCCGTCCGCGGCCGATGCGCCCGCCGCCTGCGCCCAGCGCCGCTGCTGGGGCGCTGGAGGCAGCTGGCGGGGCTTCCCCTGCTCGTGAGTCGCCTGGGGCGCGGCTCTGCGGCGAAGGGGGGGCGCCCAGCGGGAGGAGGCGCCTGCTGCGGCTGCTGC